GTCCTTGTTTTAATACTCTATAATGAGCTTCCTGTTCTCTAAATCATCCATACTGAGGACCACTGAAAATGTCGTCTGCTAGCAAGTAAACAAAGGGGGGTAACTCTTCACAAACTAATGAAAAAGGATTAACGGAGTTGTCTCTCTTGAATGAAACCAAGCACTTGATAGCTGGTCAAGGTTGTTTATACTAAAAATCCAGTTGAACATATTCCTAAAATTTGCAATCATTTCTGGTCATAGTATAACTATATCCCTGACCCTCTCGTTGTTTTACTGTCAGTTGATGACAGGTTCTATTGTTTATAACTAATTGTGTCTGACTAATTTTGTTGTGTTACACACGATATAGCTCGAATACTGCCGGTGTAAGTTGGTCTTCAGGACTGGTCGTATGAGGCGACTAACGGGATCGGACGGTTAGGATCGCTGACTTGTTTGACACATGCCATCGTATCCCAATTGCGTGGGACGATGCTCATAATGTCGATTACTGAATTGTCTGGATCAGACTCAATTATTTACAGACCTCCGCCATATAGCTTGAAAATGTCTGAGTGCGGCGTTAAACAACCGACCAAGCAACCAATCTCTGTAGGCATGAATTCTTGTATTAAGAAATATCCCAAAATGCAATGCTTCACGATAACTCAGAACAGTATGTGAGAAATGCCTGGAAAATTCTTACGTTTGATATCGTTGGTACAGGTTTACGTTGTAATATTCCGGAAACTGCATTTATAGAGTCGAACCGTAACGAGAGATGCTTTTAACGCCAAGGCTATCTGACCGCATCTTCTTTTAGCAACAATAACGCATAACTGCCTTGAAATGTTGCACAACCCTTTCTCTTAAGAAAGATACCGAGCCGTTGAACAAGATATATTTGCTAATGTGTGGTGAGATGATCACCTGTTAATTATATTATTTTTGAAAGGTTTCCCTACAACCCGTGGAAATGACGGTAACAATAACACAGCAGCTGTGTGATATTTGTTATGTGAACCCATATAAACACATTATGCAAGAAGTTGACTTTCATCTTTGTGGTAATATTTCCTACACATATTCATTTTCGGAGCTTTTCGCATACACTGTTCTGTGCCACTTTGAAGATTTGAATGAAACCATACTACTGTTGAACAGAGGCGGTTGGGTAGCCTAGTGGTTAAAAGTATCTCTCTTTACTATTGGGTGCGAATCTACAAATGCAGTCGGTACACCATGTAAAGGACTTCCATTTTGAAGTGGACGAAATGTTACCACAGTCGGCGGAAACATGTACCAACGATCTGAAACTTAAATAGTCACTGAAGTATCCGTAAAATATGTTCACGAATTATCGTGCAAGAAGTGGAGACGGGGAAAACATCCATATGCATGTGGCATTCACTCGTATTTGCAAAAAAACGCTGCAGCTTTTGTACTTCGTCATTCTTTATATTTATAAGGCGTGTAGTCCTTTCTCATACGTTCAACTGCAAGACTCGAAAATACAATTACCCTTGCAATGTGTGCTTGCCTCACGCCGTTGTAGCAACATCTCTGATGGAAATTAAGGAATTCAACAAGAACAAATTTTCTACTGTTCTTGTTTAATGTGTTAACTTATAATCACCATGCATACATGTTTAGGGGATAACAGTACTGTGTTTGACGAATTGGGGACGTATACCGGTGGTTATATAGCCGCACATTTAACATTATATTGGCGATGCCGAAATATAGTTATATCGTGAGTTATATAATTGAGTTTCGTTTACGCGACCGAGGGTTTAGTTAAGTGTCTCATATATCACTCAATCTATATTCCTTCCAAACAAGACGCGTCGAAGTGAAGTTGAATTGAGTCGTACACAACACGCTGTTCCTTCAACCATTGTGTCCCTTCGTTCGCGCACTCGTTTCATCTACTGATGTTAACCCCGATCTGTTCGACGAACGCGAATGTGCGAACACAATAATTATCAAGTGGTTTATATTTTTATTATATCGCTCAATGTAAAATCCCACCTACAAGACGCCTCGAAGCGGAGTTGAATTTAGTCGTAAATACCACACTGTTCCTACATTCGCACTCTCGTTTTATCCATTGATACTGATCCAGTCTTTCCATGTTGTGAATTTAGGCGTAACAATATTTCCACTCTCGTGCGTCGTTTCACCAACACACCGCATCACTTAGAGACGTGGTCGACGTGTATTCACCGCAAATAGTATATATATAGGTAAGCAATATTATCGGCGTTAGTGTCAATGTTATCACAAGATATCCTACAGTATGATCTATTGTTCCACCAAACCATTCAACCTCTAGATGATCACCAAACATTAAAGAACAAATACGCATCTGAATAACATATCATTTCCACCACTCTCACATTACACCAACACATAAAGAATGATATAAGAACAGCATCAACCAATGAATGCAGGATACACCCGTAATGAGATCACCGTGAGGTCTAATGACCAATTAGAGAGGTGATAATGACGTAACTAATGAACTGGACTCGGGTCACGACCCCGCACCGTTATCTGCCGCGGACCATTGACCCACTTACCACTGGTCACCTCTCCATTACACACCCACCTCACTTATGGACTCATTAATTGTTATTGTTGTTTTGGTTTTGAGCGTTGTGCTCACAAAATCGCTGGACGTTCCTAAACGATGTGTGATCCGTCATCGGATTTTCATGGGGAGCTTCGGCACCGGATCCCGCAACCTGGTGGGTGGATACCACCCCGCGGTTGTGCGCATGAGGGGTCAAGGATGGGATTCCCCGTTGAGGATTGACATCCGAGCCTACCCCAGGTTGAGATATGTGGAGCTCTCGGATACTCACGTCACTTGTGAAGGAATTGTGAGACCACCATCCATCACCATCAACATCCTTCACAGAGCTGTGTGTCAATCGGTGAGTGTTTATGATTATTAACGCACCTCGATGTTCATGATTCGATCCTGTCTTAATGGTGGATACATCATATCAGATAATATTAATTTATTCACAGACAACGGACTTACGCTCATCTCCGCGGAGGAAGACTACTTCACCATCACCATTCACGACAACAGTGGTCTCTTCATCCCCCCATTCAACAAGACTCACACACTCTGCCTCAACCACTGAAACCGGTGTTGATTCTTCCCACATTCCATCTGGTTGGTATTGTTTGTTTATTATGTGATGGTGATTGTTTATTATTATTATGTGATGTTGTATGACGATATTCAACCAACCGTGACTGTTGTTTACTCGTATCAATTTCTTAACAGACTCACACCGAAGGCAAACTGAAGACACCACCGATAAAGAGCACACCCACACCACCACTATCAACGACCGGCTCACAAGCACCACCGAAGCACTCGTCGACGGTTAATATCGAGTTTATTGAGTTTCCGAATTAAGTTCGTATAGTGTATATATATCTATCTCATGATATATATATATTATATATGATGATGATGATTTTATGCTTCCAGTTACAAATTCCATCCCAACTGGTGTTATTACTGCTATGTTCACCGCCGGCCGCATCAACGTGTCTATCAACACCCACTACATCGCAGGAACGGTTACTTCAGCCCTAGATATATTCACCCTCAAACCATCATCATTCAGCTCCTCCAACATCGAAGGAAAGCATAATGATAAAACGGTCATATAATGCACCAGGTACACATACCCCACCAACACCACACAGCAATGGAGTCAATATGTATAACTTAACTATTTATATGGTCGTGTTAGTGATTTTGTCTTTAAGTCAGACTCTGATATTTATTTCTATTCGTCGTATGAAAAGTAAAATCAGGTATATCCATATGAGACAACAATTACCAAACGTGAGCGAGCTACGATCCGGGTTTGACGCATTTACTCACGATCGGGGTTCTTTATCTGATAATATGGAATGGGATGACACCGGGTTTAATGAATCTTACCATATGTACGAAGAAGTCCGCGATAATGTTGAAAATACTTCGTTTTCGCAGGAATGATTGTAATCACACAATAAACAGCGCTATGTTACAGACGCAAGATGGTGGTGGTCACTTTGTCGGCGTAACCACAGCTATATGTTATCAACGCAATTCTACCGACTGGATGTGTTATGTATGTATAATAAAACCAAAGTCGCATCACCCGCTAAACTCAGGAATGGAATTCGATGATACAACTACTACTACCGTTTAAAGGTAAGAATCGTAATCACCACCATCATCGCTGTATTGTTGGTGTGTTTAATCAAACCACCCGTAATAAAAAACGAACTTATACCAACATAATTGTCTTACAGGAATCGAGTCTTGGGTGCCTTACATAAAGATATCTCTGTGTCAATAAAAAATATATACCGACACTTCCACTCCTTCCACGTTTCCGTGAGCTGAGATAGCTGACTCAGTAGATAGGTGGAGGAAAAACTTGACAAGTTTCCAAAATCACGATTTGCGTTGATGAAAATGTCAGAAGAGTGTAGTCCTCTGTCCATTAAAACCGTGTTGTATTTATTCAGAGAAACCTTTGACATTTGTTTCACAAACGAGTCCATAATATGCAACTGAAGGGCGACTGAGTTTGATTTTTGATTGGAGTCAAACCGTATCCCTGAGCTGCTCTTTAGTAGTACATTCTGTTAAACATCGTAGGAGTGTGGATTTTCCACTCTCTATCAACCCCTCTATAGCGATAACTGACTTCACGAGACTGTCGGACGACATGTTCTGCAGCAAGGTTCTGGGTGATTTTGTGTCGAGGTGGTTGCTCACCCTGGGTTTTATGTGTGTGTGTGTGTGTGTGTGTGTGTGTGTGTGACGTGGTGATATGATTTACTCAAACGCGACACAACCACGCCCCCCATTTGATCAACGAAGGTAGCTCAATGGTTATTTTACATTTGTAACACAATAAGTAATGTTATAACAACCGCAAACTCCGCTACTCACTTCGAGTTATTGATTATGAAGAATGAACGTTTTAATACTTACCCATTTCTCCCTAAAACGATCTGTACCAACGACGACCTCCCTCTACCTAGGGGTTGTCGATCTGTTCTTGTTAGGGCGCCTCTCCCTCTTTGAGTACCATCCCGAGTGGGTTGGGTATTCACCCCCGACCTGTGGGATAACAGAATGATGTGGTTGATCGACCCGAATATAACATAATATCACACGAACTACTTTGCGGTGGATAATTGGTGATGAAATGAACGTTTTTATACTTACCTATTTTCCTCTAGTGGTTGTTGTTGGTCCCTTCCCCCTCCACCCACCCACTGATCCGCGGTCATGTCATCCTGTCTGTGGAATAATGGAACACGCGAATGATAGAAATGTGGTATGCACCGCACAATCAGCACGGTAATTCCAACTATGATAATAACAGTCTTTCTCTCACGGTATGCGGCGCACCATTCTCTCTCTCTCACCTCTCTCTTGACACCCCGATGATGTGGCCGTAGGCGTCCCTTGGTTTCACCACACAAACAGAGCGATCTTTTTTTTTGGGTGGTTGGTGGTTTGGTTGTGGAGTTCATGGTGGGGTTTCAGAGTTGAATCTCGTGATGGGAGCTTCTTCGGCTTTCGTCCGGGGGTGTTGTGTTTGTATGTGTATGTGTGTGTGTGTGTTTGTGTGAGAGATTGATTACGCACGACCTAACCCTCTGTATCCACTCACCCTCCTAAACAAAACATTCAGACTTGTAACAATCACAAACTGGACTTGGGCTGGACCTAGTATTAAATCAACCGTGTTGATGGGTTGTGGGACCAAGTATCTATCTTGCTCCTCTCGTAAAATAAACCAACTGGTCAGTGGTGATTGCTTGCGATACACATCATGTTACCCATCAAACCACTGGTGCGGGTACCTGCACATCAATTAGAAATTAACGGAAGAAGAAATACGGTGTTGTGAGTGCATTATACATTATAGGTGACTCAAACACCCCAATAAAAATCCTCAAAGGATAAGATCAGCAGTGTCATGGTTACATATACAACCATTAAAACAGAGCTGAATAAAAACAGCGGTGTTATGGTTACATATACGAATATATAGGTGACACACATACACCCATTAAAACAGAGTTGAATAAAAACCGCGATGTCATGATTACACTTGTATATATTTTTGTGACACAAACACACCAATAAAACTCCGATGAATAAGAATTGGGTTGTTGTGGATACATGCGAATATATCTCGAGCACACAAACACTCCAATAAAATCAATGAATAAGAACTGCGGTGTCATGGTATTCGACCACTCATATATATATATATAGGTATTCCACGGTGGTGATGTGTGTGTGTGAGAGAGAGAGAGAGAGAGAGAGAGAGAGAGAGAGAGAGAGAGAGAGAGAGAGAGAGAGAGAGAGAGAGAGAGAGAGAGAGAGAGACAGACTACACGTGGTTGTTTATCTACCGAAGTCACACATCTATTAAATCATTAGCATGGACGTCTCAACTACTTCCACTAAAAGAGCCGAGAAGAGATCGCAAGATGCCGAGAGCGATGCGCTACCCCTCGCGAAACGAAGAACAACACAATCCAAGATGGATGATTTTATGGTTATTGAGGAAATAAGCAGCAATGAAAGCCCCAACGCGGTGAAACGAACACCCCAACCCAAGCCAAATGACGGAATCAACACAAAGGAAATGAGGGGGGATGAAACCCCGTGGGGTTGTGAAAACGTAAATGTTCAACCCGATTCAGAAGATTCCAATGATACTGTTTCTGTGTTGAACGACGACGACAACACCGACTATCACTCGCTAAACAGCGAGGAGGAGGGTGATGATGATGATGTCCACGTCGTCGTCAATCCAAAATTAGACGAGTGGGTCACCATCAAAGGTACCGTTTTGACGGCTCTGAAGATAAAAGTGGACTCCCACTACGTGCGGGTGAGTAAAAGAAATTCACATGAAGAACCGAAGAGGTTGAAAATGCCCCAGAACGTCACGGAAAGGTTTTGTTGATGTTGTAGTAATCGAAAGGGTGTGGAACATTTATCCCATAAACCGGGTTAACCTTTCTTCAATTCCATTTTCTCTAACGATGGGACTATATTGTTTACTTAGGCACTATAATTTACAATGAAACGCCACGATAAACCACAGTTAATTTCCCGCTCTTACACTGGGTTGTTATATCCACTCACTTAGACACTACTATAGATATACATGAAGTGGTGAGGCGTAGTTGAGATATGTTGTGTGAATAGAGTGGTTGTTATTATTTCCTCCATAAACCGTGTTAACCTTCAACCCATTTATCTAACAATGGGGTTATTTCCCTCTCTAACGGTGGGTGTTATAAACCAATTCACTTAGACACTACTATAGAGATATACGTGAAGTGGTGGGATGAAGCCGAGATATGGTGTGTGAATAGAGCGGTTCTTACTATATCCTCATAAACTGTTACTATTGATCTCATTCATTTCTATTATTATTACAGTTGATATCAAGGGTTGGCCGCGTGAAAAGAGAGCTGAGCAAGTTGAAGAAGAAGTATAGGAAGCGGAATCGCGCCGGACTGATCAAAGGCTTCAAGCTATCAAAACACCCGTGGTTTAAGATAGCGTACAGTAAGCTAAACAGCTACTGGTATGTAGATGTGAGGAAATTCACCAGCCCGAGGGGTGACGTTTACCAGAGAGATAATGGAGTGTGTTTCGCAGCAGAGGACGCGATGAAGCTCATTACCCACATCAATGCATTTGCTGACATCCCGAAGCCGGATGAGGCGTAATGCAAGAAGGGAAAAAAAACACACCACCAGTTGCTATGGCAACCACTTCGAAAGAAGAAGATAGTAGTAGTGTTAGATCGATCGTATTAATCAGATGCAAATTATGCAATGACTGGGTGAAGCGTCGTAGTGAGTTTAATAAACGTTACAGACGATGCAGTCGGCGCGAGAAACGTTTCTTTGAATGTGTAAAGTGTCATTTAAGGTTTGATAATTATCGAGGATTGGATACTCATGTGAATAGCGGTTGTGTGAATCCCGCTCCCACACTTAAAATCAGCGTTTTTAAGTGTAACTCGTGTGGTTTGACTTTCACCTCAAAAAACAATTTTAACGCTCACACGAGTCTGTGCAACACCACCCACAACCCCCCGACTCACACATGCACAGACTGTGGGAAAAGGTTTGCACAAAAACGGGGTTTAAGTGTGCATTCCCGTGTTTGCAAGTCGTCTCCCAATAAAATAGGAATTAAATGTCGCCTCTGTGGGGAAACATTCCCCAACAGACGTCTGATGTGGAATCATCATTGCACAACACACAACAATGCACAAGTCGGGGGTCAACCAGTCGACAACGACGACGATGACCACGCCAACGTTGATGGTGATGATAACAACATTCCTCGTCTACAACCAGAACCTTCGGGTGCTGAGGAAAAACAAAGACCTTGGACCAATGATCGGGGGGAAGTAGTAAACAGAGCACTCTTGGAGAATTACCGTGTGGATAGAGATATAATACTCCGTCAGCATCGCACGCAAAGCGGTGTTTATCACACCTACAACTTCCCACTGACCGGTTTTGACGCCGAATCTACTGAGTTTTCCTCCCACCTCAACTATATATTTTCAAACGAACAACGATCTTTCAAGGTAAATATGGCGTTTGGCATCATTTTGTCAAACATTGAAACCGGGGAATATAGATACTTCATTGCCTATAGAAATAACCAACTTTTTGAAAGACCTCAAGCTGTTAATGATTTTAGATCACTACGCAGAGTAGTGAAAAAGATCAAGCAAAAAAGCGTTGATGATCACGTGCTGTCGCAGAGACCCAACACCAAATGGATGCCGGTATTTGTGACTAATGTTGTATATTCTGTGTATTTGACGTCCTACGTTTTAGGGAAGAACGATCGGACTATTCCCTCATGGTTACGGAAAAAGAAATGTGTGTTATTGACAAGACAACGACACCATAACTCTTTGTGTGCGTTTCGTTGCTTAGCAACTCATTTAAAATTAGCAAAGAAGAAAGGATTACCCTCCGATATTAACCATGAACAGAGGACTTTACAACTTTTTTGCCAATTTACTCGAAATGTTAAAAAGCACAAAATTTACAAATCACCGAAAGACTTTCCCGGACTTAAAGTTCCCGATGATGTGGCGGCGTTTGAGAGAGTGTTCAACGTGTTCGCCTTAGAGGATTTTGGTAATTCGTGCACTCCATTATATTTGTCGACGAGAGAAACTCACACACCGGGTGTTATGGATTTAAACATGAATTGTTATGATGGTCACCTGTCCTACATCACAAACCTCAACACATACGCGCGTCGTTATAAATGCAGACATTGTGATGTTTGTTTCAAGAGTTCTTCCGCCGCCCGATGACACGAAAAAAAAACGTGTTCAAAACGAACTCGCCTGAAATAACCAGGTGGTTATATGAAATCAAAGCAAACGGTTTTTGAACAGTTGCAGGATATGTGCGACATCAATATTCCTGAGGAAATTAGGTGTTACGATTTCTTCATCATGTTTGACATGGAAGCATTGTTGCTGAGGAACCATCACCATCGTGATGATGATCAAAGTAACACCTTGTGGACACAAAAACATCACCCGATATCGGTTAGTGTTTGTAGCAATGTTCCGGATTATACAGAACCACGCTGTATGGTGTGTGCGGATATGCGGACTTTACTGAGTGATATGGTTGGTTACATGTCTCAGATAGCTGACGAGGCTCGAAAACGAACGGAACACAAACTGCACTCTGTTCTCGAGGAGCACCCGGATTAAAGACCTCGAACATCGAGGGGGAAGTGTTGAAACATCTGACCACGTTAACATCGAACCACCCTCGAAGGCAATGTTAGATCGCCTGTCAAAACACAACGTTTACCACAAGCTACTGCAAAAGAGTCTGATGATATTAACCCCGAATACAATGAGTGGGAAGAGCTGGAAGAAGAAGATGGGGGGGTGTCACCTACACCTCTCAGCAGAGGTGAATGGACAGAGGCGGATCAATTACACCTCAAACAATTGATTCAACTCTGCGAATCCGTATATCGCTACTGCCGACAGGTTCCGGTTTTGGGGTTTAACTCATCTAACTACGACTTAAATCTCGTCAAATCCAACCTAGCGCGTAGCCTTGGGTTGGTTGGTACTCAATCCAACAACTTCATTGTCAGGCGAAACAACCAATACATCTGCATAACAACCGAAGAGTTTAGAATATTGGACCTTTCATAATATCTTCCACCCAGAACTAGTTACGAAAACTTTTTGAAAACTATGAAAATCCGAAAGCGTAAAGGGTTCTTTCCTTACAAAATTCTGGATGATGTTAAACGACTGGATGAACCCGGGCTTCCACCCGTCGACGCTTTCTGGTCGGACCTGAAAAAGACCAATACCTTATCGGATCCAAACAGAGGGGCTTACGACAAACTGCAGCGAGAACAACCAACCAAAAGTGAGGTGGATATACTCGCAACACTGAAACTCGACCGAGTCCCTAACACGATTGAAGAAAATTATGCATACCTGCAGAAGGTCTGGAAAGAAAACAAAATGGAAACGTTAAAGAACTTGTTAGTGTGGTACAACAATATGGATGTCCAACCAGGTGTGGAGGCCATCTCTCGTCTCAAGGAGTTTTATTGGAAAAAAATAGGTGTAGATATTTTCTGTGAAGCCATCTCCATACCTGGTGTTGCTCGAAAACTTTTGTTCAAAACAGCCAAGGATTCCGGGGTGGGATTCGCTCTGTTCAATGAAAAGGACAGTGACTTACACGAGACTGTTAAGGAAAATATTTGCTTCCATCGAACCGGTGAAACCTACTTGCGGGGTAATCCAAACAAGTGTTGTGGTAATCTTATCGGACTAGACAGCAACGCATTATACCTCTTCTGTTTAGGATAGGAGTTGCCCGTGGGGCGTTACATACGCTGGCTTCCTGCGAAAAACGGGGCGTTCACTCCAACAAAATCGTGTGAAAGATATACAGCTTCGTATGACTGGTTAGACTGGGTATCATACAGCGAGAATATACAAATATCGCACAAGATGAACACTGGTTGTAAAAACCGTGTAGGGCCTTACTTGGTAGATGGATGCGATCCAACACGAAGACCTGTTACGAATATTACGGGTGTTACTGGCATGGCTGTGCAAAACCGGGTTGTTCAGTGTCTAAGCAAAACCGTTCTTCAACCTCAACACCAGCGCAGCGATTGGAAAGAACTATATCACGAGAAAAGTACATCAGGGCGAGTGGTTACAACCTCGTTTCTGTGTGGGAATGTGACTTTTTTCGTATGTAAAAATACAAGCCAAATTTGAGGGAATTTATATTAAATAAACAGCACCAGTTCTACGTAAAGCATGGGAACAAATCCCGCATTAGTGCGGAATCATTATTGAAAAGTGTGGTTAATGGTGAATTTTTTGGATTGGTTGAAGTGGACATTCACGTCCCGCAACATCTTTATGAACAGTTTTCAGAGATGTCTCCTTTGTTTGTCACGTGTAAAGTCCCGCATTCCTCGATTGGTGAACACATGCAAAAATATGTTTCGAAAAACTCCCTATCCAAGAAGGATCGAGTTTTATTTGTTGGTGGGAAGAAGGCTCGTAAAGTGTTGCTAGCAACACCGTTGCTGAGGTGGTACATAAGACACGGTCTTACAGTCACAAAGGTTCGACAAGCGGTTGAATACGGGAGAAAGACGTGTTTCAAACCCTTCACGGACAAGGTCACGCACGCCCGGAGAATGGGAGACAACGACCCAGACCTGGCTTTGCTCGGCAAATGTTTTAAACTGATCGGCAATTACGGATACGGAGGGATTCTGTTAGACAAATCAAAACACCGGGAATGTGTCTACGTCGAGGGTGATGATGAGGCTAGATTGAACATAAATAACGCACGTTTTATCTCGTTGTGTCAGTTAAACGACGAGGATTTCGAGGTCACTCACGCCAAAAAAACAATCACCTTAGACCTTCCGATTGTTTTAGGATTTTATATTCTGCAGTATGCCAAGCCACGAATGTTGGAGTTTTACTACGACTTCCTCAACGTTTTCGTTAGTAGAGCTGATTTTGAACTATTGCAGATGGATACGGATTCTTTATACTTCGCAATTCACGGATCGTGTTTGAGCGATGCCATAAAACCCGAAAAAAGGAACGAGTATCAGTGCATGGTTGGTGGTTTTTGCAATCAGGATGACATAGTAGTGGACGCTGTAAATTAACTTTCTCCCGAGAACGTGTTGCGAATTACACGCCAAACGAGACAAGAGAACTCCCGGATTGTTTAAACTGGAATCACAAGGGTGTCAAATGATATCCCTTAATTCCAAGACATACGTTTTGCAACAAGACAGTTCCGGTCAAAGCGTTAAAATAAGTTCAAAGGGACTGAGCAAACGCAACATTAGAAATCCTGTGGAAACTTATAAAGCTGTTCTCAGAGACAAACGAAGTCGTGGGTCAGAAAACGTCGGTTTCAGTGCAAAGGACAATACCGTGTTCACATACACACAACGACGCATGGGGCTTTCCTACTTTTACTGCAAACGAGAGGTGAGAAAGGATGGAATATCCACCCGCCCTCTGAAACTGGTATTAAAACCCACCAGTTGGAGGTGAGTGGATATAAATGTATTATCACCAAACCTCTCAACTGTGTTGTTTAATAATGATTCTATGATAAAGTCCTTAGGGTGTGTTGTTGATTATAATACTGGGTATTGAAGTATACTGGGTATTGAAGTGTGGGTGTGTAGTAATAAACACCAATCATATTATAATATATCCGAGGAAACTGGTGTGTAAAATGTATTGGGATGTACGTTGTTTATATGTTGTACATTATCTAATCAGAGAGATTGTATACCATTGCATAATAAATACTGAATTACTCCCTTTCTTTCTTTTTTTTTGTTACAGTTTCTTTCATCAGTGTGTGTGTGTGTGTGTGTGTGTGTGTGTGTGTGTGTGTGTGTCAGAGAGAGAGAGAGAGAAAACTAATAATGTGGTAATGTTCGATGATGGTATGATCTGCGCACCACACTTCGAGCGCGAGCACGCTTCCAACCCATTTTGCCCGTGATCGAGGAGGATAGAATAAGTCTCCAGCTTGTAAGAGGGTCAGACTCGATGACACATGTCGTCGGTTCCCAATAGCTTGAATAATGCTAAGTGCAGTGTAAACTAACTCACTCACTCAAAAACATTTGTGGATACTATTTCTGCCGACGTGAATGACGACGTACTCACATGAACATTTTAAGAGATTTATTATGAACCCGTAGTATACAATAGTATACCACACCCGCACGGAGCGTGATACAGTTAGAGACGTGGTATACATTATAGTGTAGCATACATGATACAGTTGGAAGTTACACCATCACGGCGGTATCAAATACACAGTTAGTGCTACTACAGAGAAACGCAGTATACATATGGTTAGCATACATCACACAGCTAGAATATACCTTATAATATATGGTTACTAAACAAATGTCTTATAAAATATATGATTACTACACCAACACAACGGTATGAAAAGACTATACATGGTTACTACAACTATACATGGTGAATACAAACTAGAATATGGCTTATAATTATACTAAATATACTAAACACAGCAGTATTGTTAACTGTACGTAGTTACTACGACTATACATGATGATATACAGCAAATGCGAGTATGCCACAACATCAACTATATATATATATATATAGAGAGAGAGAGAGAACACACATCACATATATTGATTACACGGTTACTACGACTTACACTAAGTTCATAACACCGAAGGTAGAATAATATATGATTACTACACCAACACGGCAATACGAAATAACTATACACAGCTACTACAGCTATACACGGTGAATACAAACCCTCGTATACACCCTAATATAGAGAGGACAATCCGTGACTTGCACAGTTCACTACACCGAACTAGTAATATGGTATTCATCTACACACCAAATCATCAGCGAAGCGGAATTTTTGCCACAAACCCTGTTGTGAATCAGCAATCATTGCGCGTTCGGGGTCAGTAGTGAAGCCAGCATTGTAGAACGGTGTGAGGGGTGTATCTTTGCTTCTTTCTTCGTCTTACGGTTGTGGTGGTATGTTTGTCAGCGGGGTGTGGGTTCGCACAACCCCTGTGGGGTGCATTTTCGTTATTATCATTATAACCTCGATCACCGAGGATGGTGGTGTTTTCCTCTTCTCCTTCTTCTTCTCTTATATCTGGTTTGAGGTGGTTATTCTTACCATCCGCAAAAGAATCCGGTTGGGGAGCGTTAGTTTTAGTGGTTTTATTCAATAACTGTTCGTATTTCCTCTTGGGAATAAGTACCAGTTCTTCGGCTCGAGGTGAAGTCATTTTAACACGGTGAATTAATTCCCGTCTGTGGTAACCAACTTTCCGACTCTTCACCTGCTACTTCTTCTTCCGTATCACTTCTCTCTTCACCAGAACAGTTAATAAACAAGTGGTCGTCGAGTAAAGAAATGATAAATGGTATCAAGTTCCTGATGCCTAGAAGGAGTTTTCTGGTGACCGCTCGACTCACTGACTTGACCACAATCCGGCGTAAATAAGTTTTCTTCTTTCGTAGTTGTGTTTTATGGGCTTCCGATATGGGAACGTTCCCCATCAGAATGTTCAAACAAATCTCACACAATGCATCCATCTGCTGATTGGTCATAGTTTGTAACAGTAATTTCCTTTGAATGTCGGAATGGGTGTGTGCGAGCAGTTGGAGGAAGGCCTCGGAGTTGGGAAACAGTCGGTGAATGTTGCGTTTGTCCAGTATTATTTAGGTGCATATACCGTCAACACCTCACCCAGGAATATGTTGGTACTAAACTGATAGGCTTTGCTACCTCGCGGGGATAGATCTATCAACAAATAACCGTATGGTTGATTATCTGTTGCCTTTTCATAAGCATCAAGAAAGAATGGAACTTTCCCGGTTAGAGTCTGCCGACCAATCGCTGTGACTTGAGATGTGTCTCTCCTGTTTTTAAAGAGAACTATAAAGTGGGAATTCAGCGAAATAGTTCTAGCATATTTTCCATAGGACGTTGATGGGAATAGAGTTTGACTGATTATACACACCGTTATTGTTAAGTGATGACTCATTGTTGTGAAGAGTTTACACATGATTGAGCTGCGAGACACCTCATCTATGAGGTCGTCGATTACAAGCAGTTTGTGATCACTGGGATCCTCGCTCCATTCAATAATTTCCTCTTCACATGGTAAGCCTTTGTGAAAGTCAACCCTCATCAATCCGGGGTTATGGGGAGCGAAGGTTGATTCGATGGTGTCATACAACCGCTGCCACATGGAATAACAGTACATAACCTTCGTTATCTTTTTATCGAACATAGTCTTGCTGTGGATAATAAGTCATTTCGTAAACGAACTTTTCCCGGATTGGGTTGCTCCACTTATAAAAATAGTGGACGGAGACGGGATTGGGAGCGTGGTTGTCGGCTCAACGGGGTCTTCCATTTCCTCATTCCTCAACATCTCCGAATAGGGAATGTGGTTGTTGAACGAGTCTGGGTGATGTTAAGATCACGAACTAACACAACGGGGATAACGTTTCATTATATACCCGTAAACATAATGGTCGTTATCAATATAATTAATTCTTGAAAAACGATTGAGAATTTGTCTCAAACACCATCCCCTCAACCGGAACAGTAGATAATACACAACAAATTGTCCACGCGTTCTTCCCTCTTGACTTTGCACATGGACGTGACTCCAATTTAACCCTCGCTGGTGGAGAGGATAACGGTTGGGTGATTTAAAATTTATTTGCTCCACAAAGTCGTCCACTACTTTCACATTCCTTGCTAATCCGTCATCGAATCCCAAACTGTCGAAAATCTCAATCGTTCTCACATCTACGCATATAGCAAACCAGTGTTGGCCGGGTTCGTGTGACTTTTCAGTATTAACTATAATCGCTGTTGGACACTGTGATGAATCTCTCATCCGTTTTGCGAGGTGTTTTGACAGATGATTCGCGGCGAATACTCCCAGCACGCGGTGTCGCAACATGGATTTGCAGTTTATTACACATTCCAGCTGATGAGTGTTCATTGCTTCTTACACTAACCAATAATGTTTCTACTTTTCTCTGTTTCAAAAATGTCGTCAAATTCTGCGTAGACCACGCTTGATACTGTCTCTGGGAGCGGAGTTCTGAACTGTGCTTCGAGTCTGAGCGTTCCACGCTTTTGAAGACGTAAATATGTTCCATCGTTGTGTCCAAACACCGGATCCAATGAGAAGACATACAGAGCATATCCACCAACGAACTCGTCTCGGGTTATGTCAACGATGGTGAGAGTTTCAATGTTGTTAATGGTTGACCAACATCCCGATGAACGAAAAAGATTGACATATGCTGGGATGATGGTTTGTCCGGTGGCTTCTCCGAAATGTAATTTCATAGGTCCGGACTCTCCAACACTCGTTCCGTCACAAAAGAGCGCAATTTGTGACAGATCCCAATTAGCGAAGTTATACGGATTCTTGTGGAAGTCTCCCATCCCCGTACCTTTGGCGGATACGAACCCAACTACTACTTTATTAGGGCGAATACCTTGAAATATGTTATCCCAAGCGAAGCTGGTTTGACCTTTAACGATGGAGAACATTTTCACCTCTGTTCTGCGGAATGGGTACTTGGCTGGGGTGGTTGATAGCGCCTCATTATGACCCCATATCATGCCGGGTTTCACACAAATTTGCATGACTTTTAGCACTATGTCCTCGATTTGCACCACGTAAGCTGTGTCTATTTTGGTAGCCAGCATCATGAATTGAGGGTTGGAGCGATACAGTTTTACTTGCACATCAACTTGGTTCAGTATATAACGCTTCATTTGAAACAGATCGTGCATCAAAGGAGACTCGAGATTAAAAGACTTACCCTCCGATGTAAACTCATACCTGCTGAACATACCGATGTTGGTTCCATTTGGGTCGGTTATCTCTAATTCACCAGCAGTGTCCTTGAAAAACAGTTGAGCCCGCATCTACGTCTTGTTATCGATTAAATTAGTATTTAAAAGTGTTTGAATCATAGCCTTGTAGGGATAGTGGTTGGTTGTTGAGTTAATGAGTCGACCCTGCAACCACACATCCACTTGTGAGAAAAGAGAATGGAGGAATAAATTGACCAGGGCACACGGTTCGTCGGAAGCTAGGAGTGAATTGTCCGCGTGAGTTATTTTGCACTTGACATACAAAGACGAGCGTCTAAGGTCGATGTATTCAAGTCCGTTTTGACCGCTGATGTGGAATTCGATGGGAGCTGTCGTTCCGGGATAACGGTGACACAGGACGACAGTCTTGAAGATAGGTTCTTTCCACGGCGGTTTGAGTTGGGGGTAAGTTAAACAATGACAGTTCTGGTGGTTGTGATTCTGTAAAAAACTTAGAATCGTTAATTAAAGCCGACATGATGTTTAACCAAAAATATCCTCTATTGTCCTCTTCTTCTTTATACGCGGATATGCTCTTTTTGAGATTTTCTTCCTTTTGGAAATCTTCACCCTGGGTTGGACACGCTTATCGGTACTTGATCTTTTCCGAGCAACAGATCTCCTCAAACTGTAAGCTGTCTTTGTTCGTCTGTGTTTTTTATTCCCACACTTCATCGCCGACTTCTCAAAAGCAGTCCTTGAAACCGAGTCAGGGTTCCGCCTTATCTCAGCTTTTGCTTGGTCTACAACCTGTTCGCTGGGACTCACTATTTTAGATCTTTTTTGTGGTATGACGTGTTCACCCTCGGTCGGTGGCTTTGTGATGGTGGATGGTGGAGGGGGAAGTAGGTTACGCACTGGGTAGTGCTGGTCTAGAGTGATCATACTTGAACCGGGCTTAAGGCTAAATGTACTAACTTGGTACTGTTGATTATGTTCGGTTGCGTTGGTGTGGTGAAATGAGTCAGTAGTGATGTCCTTTCCCTTTGCAACATCCGCGTAGTATTTCCGCCATAGAGATAAATTGGGGATATACAACCCTCATACGTTTCGTCTTTCCGGGAATTAGGTCGATCGCAAATGAGATGATGATGTATGGTATTGTTTCCTTAACCAAAAACGGATATCACCTAAGTTGAAGCGTTATTGAAGACACATCGGTTAAGAATGCTGCTGGGTCATTGTGGGCGTCAGATGAATCGTATCGTTAACGAGGTGAACGTCTATGTTGTATGGTTCTTGAATTTTAATGTTCCATGTCAAATAAGCCGAGCCTGATGTTGACTTTACCCGTCGCAGCAGAGGTCGTCGTTCGCCGTCTACGATTATTGGTTCGAACACAGAACAGTATATGTAAAGCATATCATCTGTGACTTTCTTCTTTTTTCCTCCTCTGCTTCGTTTGGCATAAAATTCACGGAGAGTGATTGTCCACTGACCTTCCAACCGAAGCGGTTGATGTAAAGACAGAGAAAACTTGTGCGGTTGGTTGTCTGGGAAATATAATAAATTATTATTACTGTGAGCAACAATCCATTCATCTTTCATCGCTAATGCGTAGGATGGAGGTTGGATTATTCCGCGGGTCTTGATTATGTTATCTCGTTGGTGTCTATCCACGAATTAAACTTTTTGGGAAAACCATACCACTTAACAAGGGCTTGTTTGATCCTCCCCTTACCGGTTTTATCACCCTTCACAGTTCTATACTTCAGAATTCTCTCTATACGCCAATCCTGTTCGTCCGGATCTTTGTGAAATTTGTTCATTTCAGATTGATAGAATACACCGGTAATGGGTTCTGATTGTAAATCTTCGACTTTGTATATAGGGATGCCTGTGACTCTAAAATCTTCCTGTGTCCATTTCTCTTCGTACTCCTTTTCAAACGTCCTCTTGTTCGTCGAAAGTCGTACGAGGTCGCCTATTTTAAACGCAAAAGTTTTGGGGTGATGATGTGAAGATGGGGTTGTTAATTCGCTTTTCACACGCGGTGAGGTGTCATAAATATCTAGCCAAATCTCTGCTTCGTTCTTGTGATTAACTTCTGCCGGTGCCCTCCCTTTCAGCGAGGTGTGAGGGCGGTGGTTATAGTTATATACCATGTCTTGTAAAATGTCCACATAACGATAAGTTCTCTTATACGTAAAATACCTAAAAAGCATGGTTCTCAGCGTTCGTATGAAACGCTCAGCGTAATTAGCTTTAATATCATTATTCTGTGTTACAAAATGTTTAAGGTGATATTGACTATGGACTCGTTTCACCACATTATTTCGGAATTCTGCGCCCTTGTCCGTTAAGAGTGTGAATGGAACCTTCCTCATAGATTGAAATATAGTCTTCATTGCTGATGCTATGGTATCCGACCTCTTATTCTTAACAGGGTTGATCCAGACGAATCTTGAAAAACAGTCGATAACGATAAGCAGGTATTTTATACCATCATTGGTGTCGGCTATGTTTGAAACATCAACCAGATCGGCGTCGGCTTGGACGTTGACACCACCAACCATAACCCGGTTTCTCTTGAATCTTCTGCATGCTCCTTTATGAAGATTATAAGCGTCTTGTGCGTTAAGCCACCTTTTAACTGTGATTGGGTTGATGTTGGGATCGTTTCGTCTCAACAAGCGTATAAACTTTTGAAATCCACCGAACGCTCCGGGTTTCCTTGGGTCATAATAATCACGAGTTAGTGTTTGTGACATCGTTATCAATGCTGGGGGTGAAGTGCGTCGTCAAGCATGTGATAAAGTTCTCCTACCCAGCGATCTGTCTTAAAACGCGTATCCCGAAAATCTCTGCATTGATCCTTAAGGTAATACATCGGTCATATGTCACACATTCCGGGTATCCTGCTTATATAAGCTCTCCACTTCTGTATGACAATTTCCTCATTCACTGACTCAATTGCTTGTGAAATCGATAGATTAAGTTCCTGTTGATTCGCCGACTTCAAATCTTGGGAAATTACAAAAAACATACGCTAGTGTGAGAAGATATTCCAACGTGTGAGTGATAACCGCTGACTCAATTTCGTCGATTATTTGTATCATGTTTCTTGCCAAACACCGCTGCGGAAAATGTCGTGTCTCTTGTGGAGTGGGATTCGTTAAACCACGCTCGAAATGGTGATGTTAAAACATTCACAAACTTCTTCAGAATTCATCGCTAACCCTCCCTTTATGGTTTACTAGGCGTGATGTTGGAATGTGTGTTGTATATGAGTATTTATACCTCGTGTGTAACTCCACGCATTAACCCGGGTTTACAAGAATGGAACCGCGGGTGTTCACAAACACACACACACATTCCAATTCATCGCTTACCCTCCCTTTATGGTTTAGAAGCAGTAAATATGTTCTGCTCTGATTATGGATGTGAAATGTGTCACGTTCGGCTGATTTCGTGTATAGGGTATAACTCAAGGTATGGGTGTGACGTCAAGGAGTATTTTTACCCTCATTTACATAAGTAAGTCGGGCTATGTTAAATTTCCATAGGAAAATGTCGGTATAGAGAAGCACATAACACTTCTCTCTAGGTCAAAGGTTAATCACATCACTCCTTGAACTTACACCATCGCTAGAAAATGTAGATCCCTATTCAAACTTCAACACGTTTATTATGTGCACACTGTCTAAATCTGATAAATAAATCATAGTGTTGTAGATAAAAAGGACGGAATTATGATGAAACCACTATCTAGTTATCAGAAATGAGCGGCCCGCTGATACCTCAACTACGGGCCATTATACATTCTGTTGTGAAATAACGTCATAGTGACGTCATAAATCTTGTTTCATGATCTAACAGTGTTGGGTCAACAGCCCGTTGCCAGTAAGTTGTTTTATCTTAAAATTAAATTTATGATACTGTTTTGTCTATTTTTAACACACATTCCACACATTTAGCTGGATAGGCAGGTTTTGGTAAATCGGTTATCAATTGTATATGCTGATTATACGGTCAGAAATTTAAGGCATTGACCAATCAGAACTCGTGTTACATACTAAGTTGAATTAGAATCCTGCATTTCATATTTCATAATTATACACACTGGATGTAGTAGCTACTACTGGTTTTGTGTTGTGTAAATAGTACACTTTGACAGAGTTGTATGTAAATACATGGCGATGCCATGTACTTGATCATTGTAAACGTCCTTTTTCATAGAGAAGATATTATCAAGTTATGAAGTATTCCTTAGTAGTATTTAATTCGAGTGTCTGTGAGTTCAAATCACCATCACTTTGAGCATCACGACAGAGCCTTGACAATCATGGCTTTTTTCTCCTCCGTCATGTTGATGTCGCTGCCCACTACTAGTCTCATGCTGACAGTGAGGTGAGGTGGGTTATACACCCCGAACATCGGCCACAGTGGTTCACTACAGTCTACATTGTCTAACGTAGACATGACTTTCTTCTCCTTCACATCAATGAAGACAATTTTCTTCCTGGTGTCATCATAGACAACACCGTAATGTAGTGTGTGTGATGCCCCTGCTGTGTTGGGAAGAGTGTCAGGCAGATGAAGCACATACTGCCCCTCCTTCCATATCCTCCTGCATATCCCGCCGTGTGTACTACACTGGGCAACGTTCATACAGTAGGAGTAAGGACGTAAACCTATACAATGATGCACGTCCCTCTGCTCCTCCCTACATACTCCAACCTCCAGGATGAGCCAGTTTTCTGGGAGTGGTTTGTCCAGATTGACCCTGTTCTCTACCTCCCAGTACTTGGGACAGCCATCCTGGGGAAGGGGGTCAGTACTGCATGTGCCCCAGTACTTCTTCAGTCTGCCCTTCCCTGCAGGTCTGGTGTCCGACTTCCTGTTGACCAGGTCTCCTTCCGTGTTGATGTGGACGTAGGCGAGACTGACTCTGTCTTTGTCATACTTTAGAGGTACACCTACAACATATTGATGTGAAATGAATGAGAATTATACGAATAACTCTCGCTGTAATGATATTGTAATGCTCGGAATTCACAGCTTAGTAAATGAACCTTTATTCAAGCAGTGTAACATAATCGGAATGCAGCAATAAAACCTACTGAGTGTTGCATTTTGACCTTAGCACTGAGTCACATTGAACTAACTGATAAGCCACTACTCCGGATATAGCTTGTGTTACGTCGGTTATCAAATGGTGGACACAGGACGTCAACAAAAATATTCATACAACATATATGTCCTATTTACAGTTCATATTCTAAATTGCTGCATACAGTATACACCCAGAGAGTGGATCTGTATACCCAGAAACAGTACATTAGTGTCTTACAGCGGAAACGCAGATGAACGCGGTATAACGAGGAACGTGTAGATTGCATGTAAACAATGTTAAGCTCACTGTAATTTGAGTCAACATGGCTGATTTAGTTACCCATGCACACCAAACACAAACTTTGCGGCTGGTAAGCAGCAGCGTCAGAGTGACGACATTTTTATTTGTTGTATTTATTGGGTCAATCATGTATAAAACGTGCACATGAATATGGTTTTCATTCCATTTATCATAAAGATATGCGCAAGGGACTTTTTGATTGTTGATAGAAATAATGTTGTCAATGATGCAACTCCAATCATTATTTTACATCGCTATTTCATATTTCTTGTCAACATGTATGTATTAAATAGAACAACATCATGAATATCCACCGGAGTAGCAATTATCTTTTGTGAAAATATATTGTAGACCTGAAGAATTAAATGTTTTAAAAATGTAAAGGCATCATCAACGAAACGCTTTGTTACCTCATCACACTGGTGTGTCATTGTAGTTCTACAAAACACACACACACACACACACACACACACAGAAAAAGAGAGAGAGGCTCCTGGTTGCCATTTTATATTCAATCTTAGGTTGCAATTGTATCTGGAATTGCCCTTAGTTATACTTGGCTGACCATGGTACACTATCTGAACGCCAGAAGGCATCAGTTCTGGGCGGGCGGACGGACAGTATTGAAGGCGTTGCAGGGATGGAAGGTAAAATGACAGCGTTATCAAGTAGTCAAGAAGTGGCTACCCCATCACAGTCGTGTTTCACAGCTATACACATAGCTGTTGCGACTCGCCGTCACCTGGTAGTCACCTTTTTAATCATAGTGAGTGAGTGAGTGAGTGAGTGAGTATGGTTTTAGCAATTTTATCGCAGTATCACGTCGCGGGACAACAGAAATGGGCTTCACACATTGAACCATGTGGAGAATCGAACCCAGGTCTCCGGCCTGGCGAGCGAACGCTTTAACTACTAGGCCACCCTACCGTCCCTTGTTTAAGTACATGTATATGTTAGAGTTTATAATAGTCACTGTAAATCCTAAATAACTGGAATGGTAGACGTCAGTAAAACATTGCAGCCAGAACTACACTTTATCAGTAAAGCACAGGTTCCAGTACTTTCACACAAACGGAAGTCTGACAACTGGTTGCCTGGATCACGTGCATTGTGTACCCCTCTGACCAGTGAAAATTGTCAGGGTTCCCACAACCGAAAACTATGAATACATTACACCATTTACAAAGTCGTCAATTTTACGTCCATTCTATGAAATCAATAAGCAAACTCTACTATGATATTGACTGTGAAACGTGGATCTAATACGCTAACATCGTTTCATTGAAAACGATTGGGTCTGTGTCTGTCGATTACCTCAGTGAGACGAAATCAGGATACAGTAACAGAGATTTATTGTGGAGTACAGCTGATGCTACATCCGTCTGAACGCCACAGGCCAGATTACTATGATCTCCACCTACATGTAGTTTGTTTTTAAACATCGCATCGGTATGAGCACATATGGCAGCAGTCTGTTGATAGTCGAGTTTGGGCCAGACAATCCAGTCACTGATACCTTCAGCGTCGGTCTATGCAAATGGGAAGGAATGACATGCAGCAACCAAGCCAGCGAGCCTTCACCATCCCCATAGATGAACATTTGACACTGCCTTGATATTTTAGTATTCTGTTAACATTACTTGGAAGAACAAGATTGAAGATTAAAATATGTAAATAGGAATACATGATAAATGTACTCACACTTCAGCATCAAAGATCTGTCTACAGCCCCTGGCTTCAGCAGATGAACACCACATTCTCTGGCTACACCTGAAACATCAATAGGCACATCACCACACACGTGTTATGATACATAGGGACTTTTGATGTTATATCATTAGTGAGGTGATGCTTGACTTGATAAGTTTAAGCCAAAAGAATCATTCGATATAAAGTTGCACTGAGATCATGTTCGGGACCAAGTGGATTAGACAAGCGGTATTCGAATCTGATATTCAGCCTTCTCCTTAGCAGAAGGAAACCATGAATTTACCAAGCAAGAGATCTATTCTTTTGGCATCCTTCTTCTCAATGGCTTCTTTCTCATCAATGCGCTGAAAGATCAACATACATGCATATATCATGAGATCAAGAAATATCTTGCCGTTGTCTCTGTCGCAAGGGTACTATTTCCAACAAAGGCATGTCTGCATGCATTAAAGAATGCAGTTATGAACGATTACACAACGGAGACTTTAACAAGGTGGTGACAATTTACTCAGATGCACACAAGAGGTCATGAAACAGATTTGGGAAATGAATGAAAGTGAAACATTGTGTAAACAATTTAGCAAATGTAATGGGATGAGTATATAAACTACCGGTCAAAAGAGAGTCATCGCTTTTAAAGTATTTGTATACATAAAAAAACAACACATTACCGCTGGTACAGTTTTGAACCGAAGCAGAAGACATTCGGCTAGACCCTAGGCCCTCTATGACAATACAGCTCTATGACAGTGCATTTTTCAAAACGTGAAAGACGTAATTGTGTCACATGCACCTGCATGATTGTGGCATAAATATCGATGCTGGACAGAGCCAGCATGCTGTAGCCCCGAAGGAACACCATAAATATGCCAAGATTAACGTAAGCGCAACGAGACAGGACGATCGGTATGTCCAATATGGGGACTTCACAACGCCACTGGTAAGAACCTTCAAATGCAGTCAGGCCACCATCAGGAAATTGATAGACTGCTTCTAGCAAACAGGCCGGATCCAATACCGACCAGGATCAGGTAGTCCAAGAGGCACTACACAGGCCGAAGGTCGCTATATCCGGGAGATCCACCTTTGGAACAATTCGTGACGGCGAAGTCAACCTCAGGGACGGACAGCAATAGGACACACCATCAGCAGACGAACAGTCCTTCTACGGCTTTCCGTGGAATGGCCTTGACCCGTCTACACCGTCACCAATGTACGTCGGTGAAAGCGACGTCAATAAGAGAGGGCCCTCCTTACAGATGAAAGTCGATTCAGTCGGTTCAGAAACGATGGCAGAGTTCGAGAGTTTTTACTCAAAGGAGAGCGACTGACGCCAAACAGCGTATAAGAAGTTTGATTGAGGGGGCGTCACAATATGGGATGGCATTTGTGGCCAGAGAACAACAAGACTGGTATTCACCCGAGGAGATCTGAATGTCCAGTGATGCAGGGATGAAGTGTTTGGTCTTTTGTGATGCCCTTCATTCGACAACAGAACTCATGACATGAACCCTATTGAACATCTCTGAAACCACGACCGTCAGCTGAGAGTGCGTGTACCACCTCCAGTGAACCCACAGGAAGTTACGCTGACACTCCTGGAGATATGGAATAGGATTCCTGCTGACATAATCAGCCGATAGACGACAGGTGTGTATACCCTGACTCATTATGTGACTATCCATGTACTTTTTGAATGATCTGTGTATTGTTTTATTTTTTTCCTGTTGTCGTTTTCTAAATGTATTGCGGCAAATGCAGTACCCGCATTAAATAAATATTCAGTCAAATTGTGAGGGCAATATTTCTGCTTGGAAAGTAACTAACATAAATCTCAAATATGTCGTTGTTTCTAGTTTTGATTTAAGTGACAGCTTTCTTTTGCCTTTTAGTTTACAGAGTTAAACTACTTTTAGTTGCTGACATATCTAAAGGTATGAAACATGCAGATAAATGAGACAAAATTATTCCATAATTAGATTAATGGACATACTGATTTCAAGCTTTCGATTTCTGAATTGAGCTTGTCTGTCAGCTTTGTAAGGCTTTCAATGTGCTTTTCGACTGAATCGATTTTCGTCTTTAGTTCTTCCATGTCCTGCAACATATAATATGACATATGGTATATTTCCGTCATGTTATTTATCATCTTGTTCATACAATGTTGGCAAAAATACCCGAAACGTTTCATGGAATGAATAATTCTAGCCATGACTGTTGAGAAGCATTGCATCATAACGTCTCCTTTGTGATAAACTTTGTTTGCCTGTTATCTAAAGCCCAACTCAGCAATATTGCAACGCTCTGTAGATAAGGATTCTCGACATCCAGTAATCAACATCACGATCATCGATCTTGGTGGGAATTTTTGGTTGGTATGTTGTTTAACACTCAGCAGTATTTCAGTTGTATGGCGACGGTCCGTAAATAATCAGATAATCCAGTCATCAACAACATAAGCATCGATCTACACAACTGTGATACGATGACATGTGTCCACTAATTAAATGAGCGTGACAACTCGATCCCGTTAGCTGGCTCCTGCGACAAGCATGGATTGCTGAAGACCGATTCTAACCCCTAACTTCATGGGTCTGATTATCGATCTATGCAAGCATGGATTGGTGACATGTGTCAATTAAGTCCGACCGATCCCACTAGTCGCCTCTTGGGCACTTTGTGAGCCTGAGTATGATGTACTATAACTTCCTTCACGAACCATTTTGTGTTTCATTTCCACGTCTGCCATAAAGTCATCATCAGTCTGAGTACCCCTGTCTGAAACAACACAAATAGGATTTAGATGTATAGACAGTGGAACTATGTTTCTGTGCATGTTACAAACGCTACATGTTTAAGAACAAATCCTAAGTCTTCACCTAACCGAGTGGATTTCCAATTATAGATTCATGAGTGGGTGAGATAAAATTACGATCTTAAGTCACACTGGCAGTATGTCAGCCATATCGTGATTATCATATAGATTCATGAAGAAAGGCGGCAGGATATTGCATTACCAGACACAAACACTGTAACCAACATTAGAGATGAAATGATTAGGTTACCAGCAATTATTTCCGATTTTCCGTCCATATCCATCGTCAAAATGGCACCAAATCCTGATAGAGTCGCTTTCAGTTTTGACAAACTGTTGGTGTTGAAGACAGCTGTGGGTACTGCATATGTTTGAGACGCGGCAGTGTCCAAGCAGGTCCCAGTCATCTCCCCAACATATGTCTCCAGGCCGAGGATGTCTGACTTTGAAGCATAGTGGAAGACATTATTGATGTAGTCTAACACCCGTATGCATTTGTTCTTGTCTTCTACACAGGCGGTGAGAAGAGAATGCTGTGTTGCCTTTGTCTCCCTAGTATGATTTTCCAGATCGAAGAGAAGTTCCTTCTCTCTTTGATCAAGTTGTGATCTCAAAGATTGGAAAATGTGACGAATATTTTCTTTCAAAGAATTGTGTGTTTCGTCAGTGGATTCGGTTCCTTGCCTGATACTCTGCATGTTTGCCTGGTGGCGTGTCTGTAACGTTGATAGTTCATTCTTATGATATTCCAGTTGCTTTGTTACAGTTTCAGCAGCCACATCAAACTTCTCAACTTCGTGGTCGGCATGATCTTGAATTCTGCATCTCGCACAGATTAATTTCCTGCAGCTTTTATCAAACAGATACAGGGGGTGATATTTATGGATGCTGCAAAATTTTGGAACGGTCGAGATAGTCGGTTCCAAGTCGGCGAAAATTTGAACTACATGGCTTCTGGTAACTTTGAAGTTGCTGTGCATGTTCTGGCAGTATTCACAGAGTAACTCGTCACAGTCCTGACACCAACACACAGCCTGGTTGCTGTCATCTTCGTGTGTACAGATAAGCTCTGTGGGGCGATGTTTGACCGTCAGATGGAATATTTCTTTCTGTCTCACTGTATCCTTCTGGAGGTGTGTGTCTGTGAGGTGGACTTCCCCCTGACAAGTAGAGCATGATATCACACCACCAGCTGCAGATGTCATACATGTCTCACACACAGCATGTAGACAGGGCAGTAGGTAGGGGGCGGCGCCTTTCAGGGTAAACTGCTGCTGACAGACAGAACACTTGGGAAAGGAGTCCATTCTGGAAGACATGAAGAGCATATTAGCATCCAAAGAAATCTTTTGATCAACGTTGTGATCCATATAGATCTTTATCAACGTATCCTTTACTGCACACAACTGTACGATTCAACATACGTCCACCCAGTGCATTGTAATATGAACATTGCCCATTGTCTTCATCATATTCAGTACAAAACAATCATAGCGTACATTCATTCTGAGTCTATTGCCCTACAACATCGACTTCCCGTACATACATATAAGAGCATAAACATACTATAACGCACCATAACAAAGCCGTCCTTGGATTAATCATTTTATCTGACAAATATATAGCAAGGTGACAACATGGTGAATGTAATGATAGAAGGACCTAGACTTGATGATGATCACTTTGATGGAGTTAGAGTTGTCTGATCACGGCATTGATAATGTTCCTAAAATATACTAACGATAATGAAATGACCAAATCTGATATCAGCGAAATAATGTATTTTATATTCAGAAATCACAGAAGAGACAACCGTTAAGTTACAACAACCAATGCCCCTTACTAAGAAAGTGTAATCCCAAATATAACATATATTACCCAATACATATTGCACACAACTAGTAGCCACAACACAAACATTTCCATATCGTGTTACCATTACACCAACCAGCATAGCCTTCAATTTTTGACTGATACGTTATTGATTTTATAGTCTTATATACTGCAAAACAAAATACGTCTCTCACGGCAAATACCTGCAAAAACACTCGCTCACTCTGAATTAACAATCACTGCAAAACATGTTAAACGTGTTTCGCTCCAAGCGGTCGTTTTGAAATGAACTCGGCTCTGTCTTTACTTGTCGCAACTTGACGCAGCAACATTGAGTTGGTCACCAGATCAGCAGCGAGACGTTAGACCCTCGCTTGAATAATTTCTAAAGAGTTGTCACCCCTGGGTACAAGAAGCTCGCCAATAACAACCCAACGAGCAAACTCATCACCTAAGCAAAAGTCACCTTTTATCTAGTATGTGTCATCTTAATTTCATATAATACCGGTGAATATCTCGTTACACAAACCATCTCAGGTTATCCCGCACAAACGACTAACTGACTAACTTAGTTGAGTTTTACGCCGCTGTTAGCAATATTCAAGCAATATCACGGCGGGGGACACCAGAAATGGGCTTAACACATTGTGCCCACGTGGGGAATCGACCCCGGGTCTTCGGGGTGACGAGCCAACGCTTTAACCACTAGGTTATCCCCCCCCCCTCCCCCCTCGCACAACGAGGTTTACCTGTATACATAGTATCAGCGGTAAGGTGGGTTCTAGTTAGGATGAATAACGAAGGACTTGTACTTTAAGCTATTACAAAAGAAAGATAGGAACGATTTGACAGTATCTCAGCCCGTCGAGTGTCACATTCCCACAAGATAACAATACTGAATCATGGCTATCGTGAATGAAGCCCGACCTAGTTCTAAAGCGAAAGTAGGAATTTGTGTGGTAATATAACACTTATTTCCAGGGTATATGCTGCATAAATGAAAGTATAGCTGCCTATTTCAGCACATTGGCAGTATAGTGACATAATACACACAATATTTGACACTTAATATCAAACAGTTAACAGTTTACAGGAAGGCAAAGTGAGAGACAAAACACAACACACCTACCTGGACTGGTCACTCCCTCCACCGTTGACACGTACGTCACTTCCGGCGATGACGCGGGACAGATATCTCATTGCAATTGTTAGATGTGATACGTGTGTATGTTTATTTTCGTGGTTATATCTATTTCTCACACGAAGTATGCCCCAAACGTATCAGTTTATATTTCATTTTCCAGATTATCTTCTGTTTATTTGCGCAAGTCTGTAATAAATATGAATACACAAAGCCATTGAGAAAGTGGTCAAAGGTAATGTTATATTGGGGAATACACTTTCTCAGTTAAGTACAGATTCTAGTATTTTAGTTGGGTTAGTCCCATGCCGGATTCGAACCCACATTTTCAGAGTCATTCATCTAATCACCCAAAAATCATCCATCTAACCCAAGTAGCCGTCGCAGGTAATAGTAGAGTTGTTTAATTTCGTGAAAAGACTCTATTTAACGTTTAAGTAGGAAAGTTGTACCTGTTGCCTCAGAAACAGAAAAAGTGGAAGATTTGCTGCACATCTGCTTATTATCTGATAAACTGTAAGCAACCGAAATACGTTTGACCTGTCACACGTCAAAAGCGAGTTTGAAAAGTCTATTCTAGCCAATATCTTGGCAAACATTTCTATTTCTCGCTAACAGCATGTCTCTCTGTTTATTGTACTGTTCACAGACACTGACACTCAGACTCTCTCCCACACACGCACACACTGCAGTTGCTTGTAGCAAAGGCCTAGTATCTCTGTTTGAAAAACACAGATAAGGGTGTTCAGTCAACAACAATCGAATGAGGTCATAATATGACGCATGCCGTGCGCCTACCGGCTCGGGTGACACTGCTACAAAGAGGCGTACATCAGACCGTATTACCCTCGAGAGAAGCATACAACTTATATTATCCACCCGTTACCCATTTTCTGCTGGGTGAACTGCGGCACTTTTGAACAAACGCACTTGCCTAAGCTGAAACCACGTGTGCTTCGTTGTGGTGGAGGATGAAATCTCAGGAGTCAAACTGCCAAACACGGTCACTCATCCAAGGATTCTCTGTGGCCAACGTTGCTTATCTTCACCTGATTTGTGACGTGTTCTATGCATTAGAAGAAACTGTACAGTTACGTTTGTTGAGAATAGCACTTTTTTCAAAGTGACTCTTTAGTCTCGCGTAATACAACCGTTTAAGAGTGTGGTAATGCGATGAAATTCTTGGAAATGAAGCCACATCACACGCGTAGGGATATGGGTGTTCTCCATATCGCGGATTGCCTTAGAGAAAAACTGCTGTTTCTATTTTAGCGTTTGTTTGGTCGAAAACCGATATGAGTGAAAAAAACAATAACCAACTCGTGACGGGGAATGACAGGTTATCTTTCCCTAGTTATACTTATTATGTAATTCTCTCACCAAGGTTCGATAATTACGTAATTATTACAACTCGGGATAGATAATCTGCCATTCTACGTCAATCGTTACTGATTGTCTTTTATGCATATTTTTAACTTTCTTGTGAAGATAATATTCCTTTCGTAATGTATATACTATTCTCGGGCTCCGGACGTCGATTGTATGTTTTCCACCTGTAATATAGTGGTGGAAAAGGTGATTGAGATTAGTTTTACGCCGCACTCAGCAATGGTCCTGCTATATGGCGACGGTCTGTGAATAATCGAATCTGAACTAGACAATCCAGTGATCAGCAACATGAGCATCGATCTATGCAGTTGGGATACCATGACATGTGTCGACCAAGTAAGCGAGACTGACCAGCCGATCCCGTTAGTCGCCTCTTACGACAAGCATGAATTAAAGAGGATCAATGTTAATCCAGATCTTCAATGGTATGTCGCAAAGGTAGCACTTTATATCTGGGGCGGTGGGGAAGCTCAATGGTTAAAGCGTCACGCCGAGAACCCGGGTTCCATTCCCCACACAACGGAGTTTGTCCAGTCATCTAAGGGGAAACAACCAAGGAGGGAAAACTCAACTCAAAACCTGTTAGCCGTTCTCATCGAATGTGCTAAATAAAAAAGTAAATAAAAAGAATTAAAAATGCTGTTTTCTTCTTTGGCCAACAATTTGGCTAAGAACAAGAAGAGGTAAGCATGGGAGGACATTTCACAGAGGTGAGTATATCCTCGTACTGCATGTGTCATGTGTGTGCTTTAACTTGAGTTGAAGCATGTAAATAGTGATCACGTAAAACATCGATAATTAGCTTTGATTATTGAACGAGGAGGAAAGCGTTCTGTCGGAAAATCTCAGTGAATCTCATATACCTATCAATAATATCAGGGAGGCTATATAACAGGGAGTGGTCACTCCTCGAAAAGCCCCTTAGCGTATGCCTCGGCTCGTCGCGTGACCAGTGTAGCCAATATGGCGACAGCGTAGTTTTTTAAGATTGAGTCCGGTTTATTTGCAACAGCTGATTACATTCGCTGAGTGTTGTGACAACTGAAAACCTACATGTAGAAGATAAGTTACCTTTTCGGTCGCTACATTTTAAGTCAAATAATTGTTATTAGTGTCAGTATTAGTACAGTAGATTTGTAGTAGAGTTTCAAGTCGGCATGGTGTAGCTCACTGGCTTCAATTCTCGGTACACAGCGAAGAAAGACTAAATTCTATCGCTAAAAACTTCTTTCACATATTCGTTTAATTTTTAGAAGGGAAATATACCTTTAGGTGTAAGGTGTTTGCAAACAATAAAATTGCTAGGGAGTATTTGAGGTGTGTGAAACATATGACATATCGCCGATCTACCATTGAAATACTACAGAGCGTTGTTTGAGTGTTTCTAGTTATTGTTCTAAAACATCTTTCACATACACCTTTAATTTTTATGAGGGGAATATACCACCAGGTGAAAGGTGTTTGCAAGTAATAGTGATAGTTGTATAATTTTAAAAAAAAATGTTAGGGTGTATTTGAGGTGTGTGAAAAATATGACATATCGCCGATCTGTTCTGATCCGCCATTGATGCTTGTGATGCTTGAGTGTTATAGTTCTAAATCGTCTTTCTTTCTTGTTGATCTTAGTATTTGACAAAACTGGAAAGGTGATTACAACGCTTTGTGATAGTTCTAAACTTTCTGTTTTTGAGGGGTGTGTGACAGTGTCAGTTAACGTTCTGTCAATGCCCATGACATTCCACACATGCAATAAGATTTTTGAATTAATTACTAATATAAATATAAAGTAGATTTTTAAAATAAATGACAACTGGTGTTAACACATGTGTTCTAGCGATAGTTTTTCGTTCTTTAACATGTTTGGGGAGGGATGGCTGTGGTGTATCATTTATTCTTCATTCATTCACGTACGTATTTCTTTCTTTTGTTCTTTTTCTCTATGTCTTTCATTCATTCACATATAATTCTTGCTCTTCATTCATTCATTCATTAGGGGCGGTGGGGTAGCCTTGTGGTTAAGGCGTTCGCTCGTCACGCCAAAGACCCGGGTTCGATTCCCCACATGGGTACAATGTGTTAAGCCCATTTCTGGTGTCTCCCGCCGTGATATTGCTGGACTATTGCTAAAAACGGCGTAAAACCAAACTCACTCACTCACTCACTCACTCACTCACTCACTCACTCACTCACTCACTCACTCACTCACTCACTCACTCACTCACTCACTCACTCACTCACTCACTCACTCACTCACTCACTCACTCACTCACTCACTCACTCATTCATTCATTCATATTATATTTCCTTCGGTTGAAGGATGAATAAGAAGGAAATTGCTTTCTCCAGGGTATGTAACTCTGGACAGGGTAGGTGTGGATGTTGATAGGTGGCGTTGCTATAAGGGTATATAAAGGTAGTGTAAGCCGTGTACGTCATTCTCGCATCACGTGCAGCTACGGTCTGTTGATTTATTTTCAAACCTTACAATGGAGGCTAAGATCGACGCCATTTTGAAGAACTTGGAGACAAGTCAGCGAGAGCTTCGTGATGCTCTGGATACCAAGATATCTGCCCTCAGAGAAGAGTTCAGTCAAACCACAACTGACGTTAAGAAGCTCAAGGCGGACAAGGACTATATTTGGTCGAAGGAGGGTAACAAGATTCAGTACAATTTTAATCAAGAGACTATTCAGTGCTTAAATCATGTAATTTCATCTATTCACAACGAGATGTTTGAACAGGCAGAGTCCATGATCGTATCAGAATGTGACCGACTGAAACTGAGGAACAAGCACATCAGGATCGCGGACTCCTCTGAAGGCGGTTGGGAGACGGTGAGACAATATGTTTCTAATGAACTCGCTGACAATTCTGACGATGATCGGGCTATTTTCCGTGCTAACAGCAGAGCTGTCAGGAAATTGCGACAAAAGCGGGGAAGATACGCGCCGTATGCAACTAGAGCTGCTCGTAGGAGTTCTACAGTTAGTCGTCCCGTGCAGCAAGCGGCTAGTGTTTCTAACGGCCCTCAGCATATCCAGTCTGTTAACCAGCCCTTTCGTACCAGAGGTCAGCGTTCAGGAGCATGTTTCGCCTGTGGCGAGTTTACCCACTTCCGAAGAGACTGCCCCTATACCAGCGGCGGAAGTCAGGGAACGTCAATCGGAGTTAGTGCAGGCCAGTCGGGCCAGTGAGCAGAGGCAGGATTTGTCAGTTAAGTATACTTTTCAAGAATGTTTAAATGCTGTCGAGAATATTTATACTGAAAGCCTAACTGAAAACTATTCTGAATATGAACAGGGAATGTCGGAGATTTTGGTCAAGGGTCGGCTTAAACGCTGTTTACCATTTTGGATATCCATGGGTGCATCGCAATTTGTAATCGATATTATTGAAAATGGATATAAAATTACTTTTTTAACCAGACCTCCTGATACGTTTTCCAGAAACAACCAGTCGGCAATACAACATGCAAGTTTTGTGACAAAAGCTATTGATGAGCTGAAGAAGAAAAAATTGATTTGTAAATGTGATACGCCCCCTGTTGTCGTCAACCCACTCTCTGTATCAGTGCAGTCCTCAGGCAAAAAACGGTTGATTCTTGATTTGTCGAAAGTGAATAACTATGTTTCAAAATCTAGTGTGAAATATGAGGACTGGAAAACGGCTT